AAAAAAAAATCAACAACCATTCCTAATGAAAAGTCTTGAGAAAATAAGTATGTATGGATACTTCTTTAACATCATGAAATATATCTTGGTCCAAAGCCAAGCCAGCATCTTAGTTCAGAAATATTATAGGCATTTCCACTAAAGCCAGGAAATGTTCACTACTAGCTAACATTGTTCTGAAGGTAGTACCCAATGTAATACACAGGAGAAATCTATGCTTTGGTAAGAATAAAAAACAAGATGATCTCTATTTTCAAATGATGTAACTCAAATAATAAAAGAATTCAGCTATATACCAGGATATAAAACTAATATGCAAAAGTGAATAGCATTCATGTATACGAAATAATAACCAATGAAAATATATAATGGGGAAAGAAACCCATTTACAATAGCAACCAGAAAGATAAAATACATAGAAATAAACTTAACAGGAAATGTTCCAAAACCTGTACAAAAAAAAAAAAAAAAATCTCTGAAAGATATACAACCAAACTTTAACAAATGGAAAGATGTCCCTTGTTTTTCATTAGGATGTCTCAACATGATCAACCTGTCAGTTTTCACATTTAATGTGATTACAATAAAAGTATCAATGAGCTTTTTAATAAAGCTCCACAATTTTATATTCAAATTGAAAAATAAACATGCAAAAATAGCTAAGAAAATAATTTTCTAAAAAGGAGGGGGGATTCTAGCCTTACTAGATATTAAAACAACAAGAAAGTTTCTATAATTAAAGCTATGTTGGCTGGGCAAGGTGGCTCATGCCTGTAATCCCAGCACTTTGAGAGGCAGAGGTGGGCGGATCACTTGAGGCCAGGAGTTCAAGAACAGCCAGGCGTTCAACAGGGTGAAACCCTGCTTCCATTGAAAATATAAAACTAGCCAGGCATGGTGGGTGGTGCATGCTTGTAATAATCAGAGCTACTTGGGAGGCTGATGCAGGAGAATCACTTGAACCCAGGAGGCAAAGGCTGCAGTGAGCCAAGATCGTGCCACTACACACCATCCTGGCCAACAAGAGCAAAACTCCATCTCAAAAAACAAACAAAAAAACTATGGGGCACTGTTGCATGCACACACCAATGAAATATAAAGAAAGTCTAGAAATACACCCAAGTGGAAACAGAAATATAGTATATAAGATGTTACCTTAAATTACCAGGACAAAGATGGCATTTAAAAAATATATATAGCCGGGCGCGGTGGCTCACGCCTGTAATCCCAGCACTTTGGGAGGCCGAGGCGGGTGGATCACGAGGTCAAGAGATCGAGACCATCCTGGTCAACATGGTGAAACCCCGTCTCTACT